GTAGTTGCTTTACTCTTTGTAATGCACGTCGAGCAAAGAAGATCCTTCGCGGTCGGCGGATATCCAGTTCGCTTATACAATTCGTACAAACAGTAAATAGGCAATAAATCCCGATTCTCGTTGCAGAAATTACCTTTTAAAGAGAGGAACAGTTTCAAACGAGTATTTCCTCTAAAAATTAGTTATAAAGGAAGGTGGTCAATTATTATGTTACTTATAAAAATAATTTAAAAAATATCTTGTCTATAGTGTATGCGTGACAGAGAGAAACGAGAATAATTGATAAGGTAATTAGTGTAATGTTAATTGAGTATGCAAATACCAACGCGATTCCCAGCATTGGGATATATGTCGTTGTTCAATAATTTATGAAAACCGGCTGCGATTTTTCCATTCATTTCATGAACTTCCATAATCCCATTGTCAGTTTTTGTATATAAATGCCAGGAGACTTCCAACAGGGCATGTAAATATTGCCAGATTTCAATTATCTCGAAAGGGTCCATAGGATCTTTCATCAAAGTCGCTTCATTTTTCGCTAAAATCATTTTTATCGCATCAAGTCAATTTTTATTGCTATTATACTAACTGACTGATTACATATTCGAATACGGAAAAATAGAAGAACAGAAAAATGAAAAGTACTTGTAATATCAAATACCAATGTGATTATCAATTTCATTGAGACCGAGTCCTTTTTTATGTATGCCGCAGTCTCTCCATAATTGCCATAGATACAGTCTGATCATTTTCAAGTTGTAATTCGGCGACTCGCCGACGAACAATTTCGCGTAATCGTTATATATTTTTCGTAGACGAGGCATGTGAAGAGTTATACAATTATATATCCATTGTTCCTCGAATTTCCAATAATTAGAATCAGTAGATAGATCGTTCGAAGACGATAAATTAGAGTTTCTCCGAGTCGAAGGCTCCTTCTGTTCGCTGTCGATTGTTTCTGTACATACATAAACGCGAGTTCTTTTCAAATATTTCAATACTTATAATGTTTATGAGAATAAATGATATGAAATTCGAGATAATGCATATCCTACAATAAAATAAAAGATACGAATTTAGATTATGACAATTATAAGCATATAAAATGAATAACCGGTTCCAATTGGATGAGCTAGACAGGAACAAAGCTCGTTTTCGCAGCTGTAACATTTCCCAGACGTTATAGACAGTACAGACGATTTATTCAAACTATCCGGATCCAATAAACGCGTGATGTAATAGAATAGACATGGGAATTGTTCCGGTTTTAATATTGGAGTCGCCGGAATGTCTGTCAGTGCCTCCGGTTCATTCAAGAATCTATAAACAATTAAGGATGTATTGGCTATACAGTCA